CTCAGTTCCTCTGGTGCCATGGCTTGGAGGGGCACATTGCAGTCATGGGCGGCACACTTAAGCGGGTGCCGGGAATCCAGGAGCCCTGGAGAGAAAATAGTTGGGGGGAAAATAGTTGGGGGGACGCCCTCTATTGTTTTCATCTCCAACCTGGATCACATTATGAAAGGAAGCAGACTAAAAGGATATTTATTCTCACTTCTCTTTCTAGATGGGTAACACTCCCCTGGAGTGTATGTTGAAGCATTGGGACTCCTTCGACCTTGCAACTTTGAAGAAAAAGTGGCTTATTTTCTTTTGCACAAGGGTATGGTCTTTTTGCTAGACCTTTGCAAATGTTGCAAGATCAACCCAGCTCTTTTAGCAACTATATCGGGCAGGCCCAGGAAAACTACTTCCCCAAAATTAAAAAAGTAACTTTCAAGGAAATCATTCTGATGGTCCCTCTTATTTGGGGCCCCTTCAGTGACCTTAGGCAAGTAAAGGGAAATTGAGGCTGATTTTCTGATGACCCTGATAGGTATACAGAAGCTTTCCAAAATTTAACTCACATATTTGACCTCATATGGAGGGATGTTATGTTGCTGCTAAGTCAAACCCTCACTGCAGCTAAAACAGGCAGCTCTGCAAGCAGAAGAAAATTTTGGAGATGAGCAATATGTCTCCTATAGTGGTCCAGAAGGGAAAAGAGAAAAATAGGGAAGGCAAAGAAATAGGGGATAAACCATTCCCAATAGGAAGAGAGGTATTACCTCTTGACAACCCTAATTGAAACTCCTTTCTATGGTGTTTTTCCTTCTTTTGTGGTTTAAAATGGCTTCTATCTCTTTTATAATGTTCTTCCAACCTAGGAAAAGTTAATTTGCCAAATCTTAAAATGCTTGGCATAGAGCTGAGCTAGGGGAAAGGGAACCCAGAAGCCTCATATGCCGGCAAAAGGGTAAACATTTCTTACCAGTTGGGCTTTTGGCTTCTCTCTCCCTGTGCCAACTGGTAAAAGGGATAATAAGGATCACTGTTGACGTTCTCTGTAAATGTATAATTAATGAAAAAGGATTTGTAAGGTTGGTCTTAAGCTGCAGACAATCTTGTGTGCTTTGCATGTCTTTCTGTATCCTTCTGTCGAAGAAAGGGAATCTTAGGTTAGGATGCAGGCCCAGGACCCCATAAGTCTGCTGTTCAAGCCAGCCCAGCAAAGCGGTCGGTGGCAAAGTCAGCTACAGGCCTCCATCTTGTTTCATGTCTTTGGGAACGTCATCTGTAACCGCATGGCAATACTTTGTTTTAGTCTCTGCCATTTTACAATGGTGGCTGTCTTTTTGTGCTAAATAAGATAAGCCAGTTTGTCAATCTGGGTGGTGCCAGCTGATCCATCAAGGGCAGGGTTTACAAAATATCTTAAGCACTGATCTTGAGAGCAGTTTGGGGAGGGTCAAAATCTTGTGGCCTCCAGCTGCATGGCTCCTGTGGCTAGTTTCTTGGTCTGGTCCCCAGGCAAGAGGGAAATATATCTTGGGAAGCCACTGTTATTGTCTTTGTGTTAGACTATAGACTGTAAACCAGGCTCCTCCCAAAGTTGGTTTAGCCTATGCCCAGAGATGGACAAGGACAACTTGAGGCCTGGAAACAAAATGAAGTTGTTTGGGTGGGATCTCTTTCACTGTCTCAGTGACAGTTTTGCAATGACAGTTTCAAAAGCTATCACTCCTTTAAAAATACCTTGTACACTCGTAATTAAATCATAACCTAATTAAAGCTCATTGGTTTCACCTGTAAGGGTACTTTTGGTAACGTTCAAAAGCCGAAAATCTTAACTGCTTGGTGTGGTTAAAGTCAAGTAACAAGGGATTTAAAAGGATTTTCCTAAAGAGTGCTCAGCTTAATTAAAAGTAAATGTTCAAGTTATAGGTATATTTAAAGGCCTTTATGCTTTTCTCTTCTTGAATCTTGCTTTTCTGGAAAAGGGCTCTTTTCTTCTCAGTTGATTGAATTATTTTTCTCCATTTTTTGTCTCACCACTCTTAATGCATGCATATAAAGTCCTAAAATAACTTCTGGTAGTATGGGACTCCTGGGGAAAAACAGACGAGGCACCACAAACCCCGTTTTAGGAAAAAACCTGTTTTCCTCATGAAACCCTGGGAATTAAAAGGAGATAGATCCCTCTCAAAATCAAAGGCTTTATTCTGTTTTGCACTGTGTTATCTGACGGTTTTGAGTTTTGGGGGTTATCAGAAATTACTTTGCATTATGAGAGCACTTTGGTGTGTAATAACTAGGTAGAAAATACACAGTAAGGGATGGCTAATAGTAGTTATAAAACAGAGAAGCTAACAGCAATAAGAATAACATACTCTTTTACATTATTATATGTATATAATAATAACAATAATGTCTAACTTATTGGAAGCCTATTCTTTATCAGGAACTATATATGCTTTACATGTATTATTTCATTGAATCCTCACTGTATCCCTGTAAGGGAGGTGTTTTTAGATGAGTCAATTGAGGACCAGGGCTGCTAAATCAATTGCTCAAGGTCAAACAGCTGGAGTGGACCTGGGATTAAATTTAGGGAGTCTAAGTAGCGTCTGGCTCTAATAATTAGGCCTTTATGTATCTATGCTGTTGTCTATATATCTACACTGGAATCTGTATGTCTATCAGCATCTGCAAGTGTATTACACATTATCTATCTCTATCTCTATCTACTTTGTATATTAAATTAAATGTTTGTTAAAAAAAAAAAAAAAAAAAAACAGAGAAGCATGCTCTTGACCACCTGAAAAATATGGAAACATCCCCATCCCCCACTGGGAGATGAGACTCCCATCAGGGATGGGCTGATTACAAATAAGCCAATTGGCTTTGGGTTGCCTTGCAATGAAATGCATGGTAGAAGCACTACACCATCTTCTCCCGTAGCATCTATATGGTCTTTTCATGAATTAAGCATTAAAATAAAAGCATAGCAAGGAGGTCTTAAGACACTAATCTGCCCTTTAGCAAAAGGGTTATAAAACGTTTGTAAAGATTTCACCTCATGGTCAAATTGGTTAGGATTAGATGGGATTATCTATACGGGTTCGTGGAAACGAATTGGAGTTAACATTAATAAACTAATGCAAGGGTAAAATTTTGCTTTGAACAAAATTTTCACGTCATAGTAAAGGCTGATGAAACGTTTTTGCCTTTTGAATTATTGTTTTTACAAAATAATTTATGGCAATTTGGAAATTGTCCTTACTGATGCCTGGCTTTTTGGATGGTTCAGACGGCCCCTAAAACATTCAGAAAAGAGGTAAACAAGATCATTTGACATGTTTAGTCACATGAGATTGCCAAAATGATGTCCAATCTTCTTTATTGTTATAAAGTTATATTGTTATAAGTTACATTTTGGTGAATAAATACTAATATGTTCCAAAATTGTATGGGATTTCTAAAATTCTAATGTCTATGTATATGCTATCAATCATAATTAAGGGTAAAGTTAATGTAAACCATGAAGATAAATAAACTTCTTTCTTAGTCATATATTTAACCATAACTATCCTGGAAATTTTTGATTCACAGACAATTGTCTTGCTTTGTTCCTTCTCAAAAGACAGTTTATAATCAAGCTATATTAAGGACTTTAACAGGTGTTCTCAAATGCAGGTTTTTAATAGCTTTAAAGATTGTAACATTGAAATAAAGAATGTATGGGACTCATGAAGAATTGACATGTTGACAAATATCAAGCAAAACAAAAGTTAACTAAGTGGACTACACTCAGAAAGTTAAAGCAACCTTTTTGACTGTTGCTTGAATATTGCTAATCTTTGTTTTGATTTTCAGAGTCAAGGAAAGTTATTTTAAACTATTTATGGGCTTTAATAATTGAGTAAGGTATACCCCTGTGAACAAAATTTGGAGCATGTTTACTTTTCTCTGCCTGGTTCCTCTAGAATTTGGAAACTGTCTGTGAGTACTCTTAACTTATGGCAATATAGTTGTTTGCATCAGTGCGATACGAATCCATTTTTCTTTGTCAACAGGATACAACTGGAAAAACTGGTTATTTTACCAAGGCTTTGACTGAAAGGGTGTGCTTCCCTTTAAGGAATCAAGCTTGACATGCAAAGCCAATAAAAGCCCCTTGGGGAGAACTGGCCTCATACCTTCTCTGCACAGTCCCTGCACAGTGTTCCTAACCTGTGGTCTGTAAAGAATGTCACTTACTAACAGGTATAGAAGCTCTGAGTTTATCTTGGGACCTCAGGAGGAGAGGATTACCCAACTCACAGGTATTACAGGATACAACCCATGGCTGGGCTCAGCTTTAAAAGTCTTATCTGAAATTCCTTGTGGAACAGAGTTTCATCAAAGCCAAGCCAAAAGGCCTATGTAAAAATAACCATTCTTGCTGCACTTTATGCAAATAATCAGGCCAAGTATAAGACTAAAGTTTATTCATAGTTTTTACCAAAAATGAGGACTGGAGAGAAGAATTTTGCTCCAAAGTTTACCATACATTTGTCATTAAATCCTACTCTCATTGTTTTTAAGCGTTATGCCTACATTTTAGACTAACCCTGCTTATTCCTGTGAATCAAGTGATGATCTTCTGCAGCTTGGAAAAAAAGAAAAGGGATGGGTAAGGTAAAAATGTGAATCAATATGCTAGTTCTGGGCAATTATCTTGCAAATTCTGCCAAGTAATGAAAGTGAGTAAGTGCCCATAACTCGGAGGTTTCTTTGTCTGGGAAAATAAAACAAAGAACTTCATAGACCCCCAAAGGGGAATTCCGTATCTTGGCAAGTAAAATTTTAGATGGAAATTACCTACCACACCACATTTGTGGGAACTGCTGTCCTCATTCTACTATTTGCAATAGCATTACACATGGTAGCACCTTCTAACTGAAATATTGGACAGAGTTTCCATTACTGTAGTATTTTGCTTAATTATTATCCTTATAGCAGGGATAATAGTTGACAAAAAGGAAGCATGAAAGTTTTACTATCACTGAGTCTGCTAGGACTTTTTATTAGGTTTAGTAATGTAGTTTTAAATGAAACACGCTGCTTTTGGATTAACAACTCTAGTAAAGTAGAGGAAAATCTACAGGTACTTAGAAATCAAATCAAAATTATTGACAGGCTCAGGGAAAATGCCGGCTTCAGCCTCGAGTGGCTACAATCCCTCTTTAATAAATTCCAGTCTTCTTTATGGAATTGCTTAACCCCTTTATTAAGCACTCTCTTCCTTATATGTCTTGTATTGATATTTGGACCCTGTATACTCAATACTATAACTCAAATTGTTTATTCTCGCCTAGAAGCAATCAAACTCCAAACGGTGCTGTAAACTGAACCACACATGGACAACGCCATTCTTCTGAGGATTCTTAGATCATCCCCAGAAGGAGCCTTAGCTGCTGTTCCCCATTCGATGTCCCTTTTCAGCAGGAAGTAGCCAGAAAGAGTCGTCGCCCCAAAACCCCTAACAGCAGTTAGGGTGGCATCTCCACAGGGGGGAATGTTGTAGGAAAAGGGGTCCTTGGTAAGTTTTTGTTTGTTAAAGCATCTCTGGGAAAGTTTCTTGTAAAGCTCTGGCTCTCAGAGCCAGGCCAGCAACTTTTGATATGCAAATGCAGGCCATTAGGAACTGTGCCCACCCAAACATGGAGATTCCCGGGGCCTTCTTACCCTTTCCCCACAGGTTCCTGGCAACATGGCCGCCCCCACATATCCCCACGTGTGTAGACTATCATGGTGCCCTGCATTTGCATATTAAAAGGCTAGGGTGGGAGGGCAAGCTTTTTCACAGGCCATGTGAATGAAATGCCTAGTCAAACCAATCCCTTGAGCCCTATGCAAATCAAACACCGCCTCCTCCAGCCTCTGCATATATACCTGGCAGGTATTGTTGGCAGGTAGGGGCCTCCACTTTCGGCTTTGGAGCCCCACTCCATCTGCCTCTGTACAGGGGGAGTTTCTTCCTTCTGTCTTCTCCCTTCCTTCTTGCCTATTAAACTCTCCACTCCTTAAAACCAAAAACAACAACAACAACAAAAACAGGAACTCATACTTTTCAATTACAAATAGTACATGCAATCCACCCTACTTGGATGACTACAAGAAGTTCAGAATCTTTCAGTGGCCCATTGTAGCTAACTGCATAGACTTGACCTCCAGCAACCATGACTCAGGACCGAGATAAAGCATACGCTGCTATCTCTAAAATGACAAACTTGGCTGGGCACAGTGGCTCAGACCTCTAACCCCAGCACTTTGGGTGGCTCAGCCGGGTGAACTGTTTGAGCCCAGGAGTTTGAGACCAGCCTGGGCTACTTGGCGGAAACCCCATCTCTACAAAAAAAAAAAAAAAGTCCAAAAAATTAGCCAGGCATGGCGGTACACGTCTGTAGTCCCAGCTACTCAGAAGGCTGAGGTGGGGGAGAATCACTTGAGACTGGGAAGTTGAGGATACAGTGAGCCATGATCATGCCACTGCACTCCAGCCTGAGTGATAGAGACCCTATCTCAAAAAATTAAATTAAAAAATAAATAAACTGACAAAGTTAATTATCTAGGTACAGTTAAAAAATGAAGGAGGTTCTCCTAACAAAACTATAGTAATTGATTATTATCATATTATCTTCTCTAATACCTCCAAATGCATTTTCCTCCTCATGCCCACTTTGGAACATACCATGCTATCAGTATTTTTGTTAGGCTCTTTTCCATGGGTACGAACCATGTTTCAGAGTCCTGAGAGTATTCACTGCACCTTCTATGACTAAAATTACATTTGGTAAGGAAACAATTAATCAACTGTGCAAAGATAAATTATAAGCACATTCATCACAGCTGACATATAAGAAGAAGGTGAATAATCTTCAATATGCCAGTTTATTAATTTACTACAATATACCCATCAATGTAACCAGAATACTTGTTTCCACATAAAGACTACATTCTTTTCCTATAGCCAAATTATAATCATAAAATTGCTTAATTAAGCACAGAATCAAAACAGGTGTCACAATTAGATAAAATATATGCTCAATACTATCAAAGAAGTCTGGCATTTAAAAGTCTATACAAAGGCCAGACGTGGTGGCTCATGCCTGTAATCCTAGCACTTTGGGAGGGCAGGCAGATCACTTGAGGCCAGGCATTTGAGATCAGCCTGGCCAACATGAAGAAACTCCATCTTTACTAAAAAATACAAAAATTAGCTGGGTGTAGTGGCACAAACCTGTAATCCCAGCTACTTGGGAGGCTGAGACATGAGAATAGCTTGCACCTGAGAGGCAAGGTTTGTAGTGAGCCAAGATCTCGCCACTGCACTCCAGCCTGGGTGACAAACCGAGACTCTGTCTCATAAAAAATAAAAGTCTATACACCAAAAGTTTCATAGTTTTAGTTGAGCGACAAGATTATAGCTTATCTTGATTATATTTATTTCTTTATGTGGTATCTGAATTGTTTATAAGTATCTCTGTACTTTTTTTTTTTTTGAGACAGGGTCTTGCTCTGTCACCCAACTTGGAGTGCAGTGATGCGATCATAGCTCATTGCAGTCTTCAATTCCTGGGCTCAGCAATACTCCTGCCTCCGCCTCCACCTCCTGGGCTTGTGAAATTGGCAGGTAAATTTCTAAAATGGTCTCATGACATTACTTCAGACTACAGCATCTGGCTGACATTTTCTCTAACACTGCTGCTTCAGTAAGAGTTGGAACAGTATAAACAGAAGCATCTTTAGAAACATATATATAAGATGAAGGGCATATGTGCTTAGTGGCCAAGATGTAGAAATGCAATATGAACACATCTGAATCAAGTGGTGGCCACACTCACATTCCCATCTAAGGGAAACTGTTCCACCCATAGTTCTGGAGAACATAGTTCTGGGAAGCAGTCCTAGACAGCAATAATTTTAAAAATATGATTTGCCTTGTAGTCCAAAGCAGAAAGTACCAGGTGTAGGGGACACTTCCCCAGTGCCATTATATATCATCACAAGACTCAAAAAGTGACTGCCCAAGCAGGGCAGAATTAAGTCACTGAAATTCTTACACTAAGGAATAAAGTCTGTGAAATGCAAAATAAATAGAATTTGTGGAATGCAAGAAAGTTGGAAAACATGAAATAAATCCCTTTGGGCACTATCTCATACACCCGGGCAACAAGCAACATTTAATTATGAATAGTTGAAAATTTATGGGGAAGCAGAATGCAGACTAAGCTCAGAGGTACAGTAAAGGTTGACTCAACAATGAGAAAGGCACTGAACAAACACACCGAGGAATTAAGAAATGTTAAAGGTGGTATACTAGGATGGATGACACAAACTCTTGCTGCTGACATTCCCAGATGTGTCTTGGAACTAATTTCCAAACTCAGGAAACCGAATTAAAATTTTTCTTTAAATTTTAATTGTCTTTACTCAAATTCCTTACTTGACTTCTTATGAGATCCCTGTCCATCTTAGAGGCTGACCAAGCCCCGCCTTGGGTGGTCCGAATTGCTTAGGTGGTCCCAATTGCTTGGCTGGCCCAAGAGATGTCTGTTTCTTAACAATACAAGAGCCTATAGAAATTGCTAAAGGGATTTCAGCCACAACTGAAGCTCACCAAGAATGAGTTTTCTGGAAGTGGTTAAAGTGTCACAGTAGGGAGTAAGGAAGTAAGAATCCCCACCAAACGTAAGAGAACAGAATGATAATAGTCCCTACTAGTCCATGACAAGGCTGCCAATTAGGCATTTAAAGCTATCAAAGATGATGCTGTGAGGGACCTGGCAACTTTTGTAATAGTCTGACTTTCAGTGTTTTACTAATGGCCAAGCAGCAAATATTTTAGGATTTGTAGGCCATATGGTCCCTGTCCCCATTACTCCACTCTGCTGCTGTAGCATAAAAGCAGCCATACACAACACATATGAGTGTGAGGCCAGGTGCAGTGGCTCACGCCTGTAATTCCAACACTTTGGGAGGTCCAGGCAGGCGGATCACCTGAGGTCAGGAGTTTAAGACCTGCCTGACCAACATGGAGAAACCCCGTCTCTACTAAAAATACAAAATTAGCCAGACGTGGTGGTGCATGCCTGTAATCCCAGCTACTAGGGAGGCTGAGGCAGGAGAATCGCTTGAACCCAGGAGGCGGAGGTTGCAGTGAGCCAAGATCACACCATTGCACTCCAGCCTGGGCAACAAGAGCAAAACACCATCTCAAAAAAAAATAAATAAATAAATGTGACCGTGTTCCAATAAAACTTTATTTATGGACACTGACACTTGAATTTCTTATAATTTTGATGTCATTAAGTATTATAATTCTGATTTTTTCAATAATTAAAAAATATAAACAACAATCTTTGCTCAGACTATACAAAAATAAGTGTTTGGCCAGATTTGGCTCTTGGGCCAGTTTGCTGGACCCTGATATAGAGAACTGAGAGGCTGCATCAAAAATGGTCCTTTAACTTACTTTTCTTTGAAGATGCTGTATTTTAATATTCTCAAGGATATTCTGATGTCCCCATGGATATTCAGTGTAAACTGCCTACTTAGTGAAATACTGTTGCTCTATTTTTCTCACCATTTTATCCATTTTAAGTGTATACAGTTCAGTAGTATTAAGTATATTCACATTTTTGTGCAACCAATCTCCAGAACTTTTTTCATCTTGCAAAACTGAAACTCTATTCCCATTAAACAATGACCCTCTTCCCCCTGCCCCAGCCCCTGGCAACAACCCTGGTACCCCCTGGCAACTACTTTCTGTTTCTATTAATTTGGCTCATGCTTCAGGCTACCCCATACCATCATTCTGGGACACAAGAACCAAACAGCAATTTGTGTTACTATCTAGAGTGGCAGAGGTGAATACATTAGAGATTCCATACATGAAAACTGTAATATGTTAAGGGGCTCTAGATTAAAAATATGTAAATAGCCAGGTGTGGTGGCTCACGCCTGTAATCCCGGCACTTTGGGAGACGAGGCAGGTGGATCACCTGAGGTCAGGAGTTCAAGACCAGCCTAACCAACATGGTGAAACCCCCCCATCTCTACAAAAATACAAAAACTAGCCAGGCATGATGTCGGGTGCCTGTAATCCCAGCTACTTGGGAGACTGAGGTGGGAGAATCGCTTGAACCCAGTTGTAGTGAGCCAAGATCGTGCCACTGCACTCCAGCTTGGGCAACAAGCAAGACTCTGTCTTAAAAAAATAAAAAAATTATGTAAATAATATTAATATGTAATTATTAAGAAATGTCTGTCTGCCTGGCGGCCACATAATAAAATACACCTGTCACATCAGTCATGGTGTCTGACAACACACCCTCAGCCTTCTAAGAAAAACAGAATTGCACAAAATCTTCATACATAGCCATAGAAAATAATGTTTTATTTCATATGGCACCAAATCAAAGGACAACCATAGGGTAAGCCATAATCTTATGGCAGAATCTGAAGTGAGAAGCTCTAGTCAAAAAACAGTAATCTGAACCAAGGAGACTGGCTCCCAGAAATTTGAATTGCTGAACAAAGAATCACATAAACATCAGCAAAAACTGAAGTTGAAAGGTTTCCCAAAATAAAAAATAAAGGTATGAGGGATGCATAAGCATGTTCAGTTGTCATGATTGGATTGGGGTCACCACTGATACTTAGTGGAAAGCAGTCAGAGATAGAAGATATTCTGCAATGTAGCAGCCAGTCCCTCAAAGCAAAAAATTGAAATATATCATCAGACTCATTACAAATTCAAATTAGTACTTTGGTACATAAGAATGAAAACTTTAACATGAAGTGATATAAAAGCTCAGTAATTCAGGATGTTTTTAGGAAAATGAAGTTCAAAACAGAATAGGTGGCAAGGAACAGTGGCTCACGCCTATAATCCCAGCACTTTGGGAGGCTGAGGCGGGCAGATCACTTGAGTTCAGGAGTTTGAGACCAGCCTGGCCAACATGGTGAAACCCCATCTCTACTAAAAATACAAAAATTAGCTGGGTGTGGTGGTGTGTGCCTGTAATCCCAGCTATTCGGGAGGCTGAGGCAAGAGAATCGCTTGAACCTGGGAGGCGGAGGTTTCAGTGAGCCGAGATTGTGCCACTTCATTCCAGCTGCATGCAGCTAGACTCTGACTCAAAACAAACAAGAAGCCCAGAATAGGTGCATTGGCTTAAGATTTCATTACTGTGCCAAATTACAAATCTAGTTGAAAAATTGAGTCTAATATCAGTTACTGCTTACTGTTAAGCTGACAAATTTAGTTACAAATAAGAGACACTTGTTCAGGGAAGGCAGAAAACTGATGAGGTTCTTAAAAGCTTCCTTGACTCCCTTATTATGCTGAGGGGATTGGCCACCCAAATTCTCTAATTAGATTCTTGTGAAATGCCAGATTGCCAAATTGTCATATGTATAGCTTCACAACCTCTTGCTCTTACTTGACTTAGCCTAAGTTAAGTTTCTGTTGCTTACAAACAAACTCCAACTCCAAACATGATTCTTTTTTTTTTTTTTTTTTTTTTGAGACAGAGTCTCGCTCTGTTGCTCGGGCTTCAGTGCAGTGGTGCTATCATGGTTCACTGCAACCTCTACCTCCCAAGCTCGAGCTATCCTCCTACTTCAGCCTGGGACTACAGATACCAGCCACCATGCTCAGCTAATGCTTTTTTAAATTTTTAGTACAGGCGGGGTCTTCCTATGTTGCCCAGGCTGGTCTCAAACTCTTGGGCTCAAGTGATCCACCCACCTTGACCTCCTGAAGTGCTGGGATTATAGGTAGGAGCCACTGCACCTGTCCTGATTGTTTTCTTTTTTTTTATATAATGAGACAGGGTCTCGCTATGTTGCCCAGGCTGGTCTTGAACTGCTGAGCTCAAACAATCCTCCCGCCTTGGCCCCCAAAGGGCTAGATTACAGGCATGAACTACTACCATGCCCAGCCAATTTTTTTTTTTTTTAAGTAGAGACAGAGTCTTGCTATGTGGCCCGGGCTGGTCTCGAACTCCAGAGCTCAAGTGATCCACCCACCTTGGCCTCCCAAAGTGCTGGGATTACAGGCATGAGCCACCACACCTGGCCTGATTGTTTCTAAATGGCAGCAAAAACAGGATTTGACAGCAAGGGCAAATCACATAATATGTGGCATATTCAGAATTGGTTGTGAGTTTCCAGTAGAAAGCACTGAGAATATCCATAGGGCAAAATGGAATACTAATAATCCTCATCTGCCTTTGCCTTTGTACTGGACAGCAGACCTTACTTAAGCCCATCAAAGGCAAGGTTTGGGCCTGCCACAGCAGATTTCAAAAAGACAAAGCAATGCAAGCCATGTGTTCAAAATGCCCTAAGTGGCTATTCAGGTAATATACAAAAGTAAGACCAGGCTAATTAGTGTACTGTGTGGTAAACTAGAGAGCAGAAGGCCCTTCTTTAAAATGAGCCTACCACTGCTTGTCCTCAGTGTGAATTTAGACCCCATCTTCTGATATTTCAGGAGACAGTAAAAATCCAGATTTTTATCTAAAATCTTTTTAATTTTTAAACAGTCACCTGATTTTAACAAAATACTATGTGTGCAAAAAGGAACCATCTACAGGAATGATCTAGTCCAGAGGATACCAGGTTGCTCACAACGTCTTATGAAGTTGTTTAACCCATAGTGAGAAATATTATACAATTACACCAGACCAAAGACATACATACATACAAATATGTAGCTGGGACAAAAATTTCACAGAACAATGCAGTCATCCCTCGGTATCCAAGGAAGAGTGGTTCCAGGAATCCCTACAGATTCTAAAATCCATGGATATACACATTCCTTATATAAAATGGTATATTTACATATAACCTACATATATCTTCCTGTCTCTTTAAATCATCTCTAGATTACTTATAACAAATACAATGTAAACACCATATAAATATATTGTATTTTTAAAATTTTGCATTATTTTGTATTGTTGTATTTTTTTCCAAATATTTTTTATCTGTGGTGGTGGAACCCACAGATACGGGACCTGTGGATACAGAGCACCTCCTGGTGATGCTTGATGATGCCCTTTGCCAGATGAAGGCTGATATTTTCTTATTTTCTTATCTGTCTTCTAGCTAAATCTATTCTTTCCTAATCTACTTCATTTTAATATCCACAATTGCATTCAAAACTGTGGCCTAGTTTTAAACACTGCCCAAGAGAAACTGCCAAGCCATTGGCTGAGTTAAAGAGGTAATGGTACATACCCATGTTTTGTACCACATGAGAAAAAGGAAACATTTCAAATAAGCCAAAACTATAAAGAAACAGAAGCTATGAGGTTATACAAGCATTTATAAACATATTCTGTTGGCCTGAAATATTTTAAAACAATTGAAGCTTCCCCCCAACCCCATTGGTTCCAGGATCCCCCACAGATATTCAAGACCCTTACAGAAAATGTTCTAGTAATTGCATACAACCTATACACATCCTATCATATACTTTAAATCACCTCTAAATTTAAAAAAAAAAAAAACAAAAACAAAAAACAAACCTGAAGCCAATCAGGCTTTTTGTAGACAGCTGGTCATCTTAGGCAGACATTTCCACTGGGCAACAATCAGCAGAAGTCAAGTACTAAAGTCTTCTCCTTTGGAGGAAATATGTATGTCCCAATTACACACAATGTCAAACATTCCCTACTAACCTCCTAGAAGCGTCAGTTGCCCTTTACCATTCCATTTGCACCCTTGTTTATATTTTAAAGAAACTGCCCTCCTAATGTCTCTATTAAAAATGATTGAACAAAAGATCACCCCCCTCACACACAAAAGACAGTGTTTCAAGAAAAGAAGAAAACACCAGAACCATCTTATACATTTATGGCATCTGGATCCTACAGGCATTTGCAATTGCAGTCCTTGAAACAAAGAGAAGTCCAACAGTCAGTTGTTAATGGATACATTATAAGCTGTAAGAAACAAGCAAAGTAAAAGCAGCAAAATAGGGTAATCATCATATTAATGGCAGAAAACAAAAGTGAAGATCCACAAACTGCTGCTGTGGGTATATAAGTATCTATCTAAACTGGGATACAATAGGCCTAGTAAATTTGTCTTCTCAGGAATTGGAATTGAGCTATTAAAAGTAATCACAGTTCACAAAGGAAACTGAAGCTGAAAGGATACAACAAGCAACACAATGCAGAGGTGAGGTCAAGAGGATCATAAGCAGGCAAAACTTATGAGGAAGATGAAGCCATAAGTAAGCAGAACCTATAAATAGGCTAAAAATATGAAATGGAGGGCCGGGCACGATGGCTCATGCCTGTCATCTCAGCACTTTGGGAGGCCTAGGTGGGAGGATCACCTGATGTCAGGAGTTCGAGACCAGGCTGGCCAATTTGGTGAACCCTCATCTCTACTAAAAATACAAAAACTAGCCAGGCATGGTGGCTGGTGCCTGTAATCCCAGCTACTCAGGAGGTTGAGGCAGGAAAACCACTTGAACCCTAGAGGCAGAGGTTGCAGTGAGCTGAGATCTCACCACTGCACTCCAGCCTGGGTGACAGAGCAAGACTCCATCTCAAAAAAAAAAAAAAAAAAAAAAAAGAGAGAGAGAGAGAGAGAGAGATGGAGAAAAAACAAAGTGGATGGGCGAGCCAATATTTCAAAAGCAGAAATTATAAGACACAACAGATAAGCAGAGAGGCCGGGCTCACACCTGTAATCCCAGCACTTTGGGAGGCTGAGGCAGGCGGATCACCTGAGGTCAGGAGTTCAAGGCAGGGAGAAACCCCATCTCTACTAAAAATACAACATTAGCCAGGCGTGATGGCAGGTGCCTGTAATCCCAGCTGCTTGAGAGGCTGAGGCAGGAGAATCACTTGAACCCAGGAGGAGCTTCTCTGAATCCAGTTCACATACCTAACAGGCATAATCATATTAAGGTCCCCCTAAACAGGTGTCCCTTGGTATCCACAGAGGAATTGGTTCCAGAATCCCCCACAGATATTCAAATATTTTATATAAAATATTCTAGTAAATGCATACAACCTATACACATCCTCTCATATATGTTAAATCATCTCTAGATTACTTATAATACCTAATACAATATAAATGCTATGTAAATAGTGGTTATACTCTATTGTTTAGGGAATAACGACCAAAAAAAAAGTCTGTACATGTTCAGTACAGACACAACCATCTATATTTTTTAGCCAAATATTTTTGATCCACAGGTGGCTGAATCCACAGATGTGGAACCCACAGATACAAAAGATCACCTGTATGTGAAACTGCATGTGATCCAAGTCACCATTATTTCCCCACAGGTGGCCTGCAAATAACCTGTCATTAAGTGAGCTCAACAGAGAATTTGTTTCTAGCAATCACAAGTGCCTAACCCATAGTAAGAAGCAGAACAGCCCCCTAGGAAGAATGTAGTTTAGGAAACTAGCTACAAACCTGAAGAGAATCCTCTTTGTTTTGAAGATGTTGTACAAACCAGCTTGTGATATCATGGAACTTTTAGAACTTTTACCCAGGAGAAGGTGAGTCTTTAAGAGACTTGGTAGATAACTGCGATCAAGCAGCTTTAAAGAGCTAAACCAGATAGAATGAATGTGTCATAGTGTTATCCATGCCCAAAATCTTTCTAAAGAAAAACCTTCTTAGCCAGGCAAACAAGACTGCTAAGAAAGCATTCTTGTGACCAACTATCCCTCCTCCAAATCCAAAGTTGATCAGACCAAGGGTAAGTAAGGCTCAGACTCAAGGGCATATGTCTACAAGCTGGTCAACAGCCTATGACTTGTGACATGAAAGCCCTCCCCAAACAAGGATGAGGTGAGAAAATTAGATTAAATTTGTAATTGGGAAAAACAGAAGAACAGAAACTCAGCAGCTGAAGTGAATGGATACATGGTAAAAGAACATACCACAGCTACGTAAGAAGCATGAAAGATTTAAATAAGATCAACTTGTGAGGAATAGGCACAGGAGTCAGAAGCCATAAAGAAGCAAAAACTGGCCAGGCATGGTGGCTCACGCCTGTAATCCCAGTACCTTGGGAGGTCAAGGCAGGAAGATCACTTGACACCAGGAGTTCAATAATAACCTGGGCAACATAGTGAGACCCTGTCTCTATTAGTTAAAAAAAAAAAAAAAAAAGAAAAGAAAGAAGCAGAAACTATCCATTAGCAATAGGATAAAGAATAGAAATGAGGAAGTGAGTATGTAGCAGGAAAGGAGTTCATAGCAATAATGTAAACTATTACATTCCTAGTAATTTACCAAATTAATTAAATAAAGACATTCCTAATAAACTGAGCTAAGTTGTCAAGTCAGAATACTATATTATGGGCCAGGCATGGTGGCCCATGCCTATAGTCCCAGCACTTTGGGAGGCTGAGGCAGGCAGATTGCTTTGAGCTCAGGAGTTTGAGACCAGCCTAGGCAACACAGTGAAACCCCATCTCTACAAAAAATACAAAAATGAGCTGGGCATGGTGGTGCATGCCTGTATTCCTAGCTACTTGGGAGGATGAGGTGAGAGAATCGCTTGAGCCGGGAGTCGGAGGTTGCAGTGAGCCAAGATTGCACCATGGCACTCCAGCCTGGGTGACAAAGCAAGACCCTGTTTCCAAAAAAAAAAAAAAAGAGAGAGAGAGAGAGAGAGAATACTATATTATGATCTGGTGTAAGGGAAAAGGGAAAGAATACTGAATGATGAGAATCAATAATGCCTATAACCAGTAACAAACAAAAAGTATTTGTGACCTCACAAAGGGTTGCTTAGAAAATTAAAATCTCCAAACTATAGATCAGAATGTAGATCTGATACAACTTAACAGGCATATAAAATAGCATTAGGATATAAGGAGAGTAAGATTTCAGAGTTAACTGTGAGACTGTCAAGTTCCAAAGATGGTCAGGTACCTCTGGATGCTACATGACTGAGTTGCATTCTAGTTTTAGAGCTTGATTCTGGATACACTTATAGTAGCTGGACTGTGTTAGGCTAAAGCAATTTTGTATTATAAGTAGGGAAAGAGATACATTTGCACATAGTAATCAATAGGGGGAAATGTCCTAGACCTGCCAAATAGCAACTACTATCCCTGCGGTCTCAGGAAACTTAACAACCCACAGGGAATCAGATTCTCAATTTAATGACAACTTGGCAACATGGAGAGTAGCAAGAGCTAAAGCCGACAGTCTGTAAAGAGAAAGATAGTGTAGAAGGAAGGTCACACCTATAGTAGTTGCAAAAGCTCAAGTTATGAATGAGAAACAAAATCTAAGTATTCAGTAACCAGGAGGTTAGAGAAAGACAGAAAATGAGGAAATCAATCTGTAGTAGGACCAAGATGATGTGCACAAGGAGAGAAGAGCTTAATCACATTAATGATACCACACTAGTCGAATTCCGTAAACTTCTTTAAAATTATCCAAATGACCCCATTTCTTGCAATGAAATCTGGATTGCAAGGAAGAGACCCTCAAAAGGAATGCAGCTATTTGGAATCAGTTATACTGAAGCAACAGGGTAGAGAGCCAAGCAAAGTACACAATAGTGGTGACATGCAAAGCGTCTAATTTAGCTACCACCAGTGCTCTCAGAAACTTAAAACTGTGAAATATGGAAACAGGTAATCAGTAGCAAAGACCAGAGGTGAAAAAGGATTCTAAGGGAAAATCAGAGGCATAAATATGAGGAAGTCCACTATGACTAAGCAGAAACTAGGTGAGCAGAAGTTGTAAGAGTACAGTATCATAAAGCAGGTATTGGCAAACTACAGCCAACAAACCAAATCCAGCCCACTACCTTTTTCTGTAACTAGTTTTGTTGGAACACAGCCATACTCATTCATTTATGTATTGTCTATGACTGCTTTCATGCTACAAGAGCAGAAACCATATGGCCCAGAAAACCTAAAATATTTACCACTGGGCCTTTTACAGAAAAAGTTTGCTAACTCCCCTCATAGAAGATAGCATAAGCCAATGGCAGGAAAACTGAAACAGGCTGAGAGAATATTTAAGTCATGTTAAAAGCAGAGCACTGGAGAAAAGATTTTGAAAGTCCTACTGTTGAGAGCTCCACAAGTACCCTTACTATAACCCCGCAAACCCTGAATGTGCTGAACATTTAGAAAAATTAGTTACATACCACACACCAAAGAGGTTCCCAATGGGAAAGATTTGTATTAAAAAAAACAATAAAAAGTATAAAGGAATTATGAACTATAAAAAATATATTTATCTTCCTATTATAAAATGCAAGTGGAGAATAAACCATAAAGAAAAAGATATTTGAGCTACATACAAATTAATAATTTATAGGCCAAACTGGGGGAAATATCTGCAACATACGATAGACTAAAACTAAGTGTGAAAAATAAACTCAAAAATAAAGACCCAAGATTTTTACCTCTTCTATCTTGTTAGGAATCAAAGAAATACAAATTAAAATATCAAAGGCCATTTTTCACCTTTACAACTGGCAAATTCTTCTGAAACCTTAATATAGTGTACTGGTGAAAAAGTAAAAAAAAAAAAGGCATTCTTATACACCACTAGAAGGACTATATATTTTATCCAACCTCAGAAAATAAACACACATATGTACAACAATTTATCTATAGAGATATTCACTGTACCACTATTTATACACAATTAAAAGAGCAGTAATTAAAACAAGATTCCAAATATCGGATACAAGTTAAATTTTTACATTCATGCAGTGGTGTATTATGTGCCAATTTTTAAAAGATGTTATTCAAGTATATTTAATGGCATGGGATATATTTGAGATTGGTTCAGTTTAAAACAATAGGCAACAAAAGATTTCATTAATGATCCTAACATCAACAATTGAAAAAGACTGCAATCCCCCGCAAAACAACTCACTTTTGAACATAGAAAAAGACCGGGCAGGGCATGGTAGCTCACCCTGTAATCCCAACACTTTGGAAGGTTAAGGTGAGCAAACAGCTTGAGCCCAGGAGTTTAAGACCAGCCTAGGCAACATGGAGAAACCCCGTCTCTACGAAAAACACAAAAATTATCTGGGAGTGGTGGTGCACACCTATGGTCCCAGCTACTCAGGAGGCTGAGAGGTAGGAGGATCCCTTGAGCCAGGGAGGTCAAGGCTGCAGTAAGCCATGATAGCACTACCACACTCCAGCCTGGACAACAGAGTGAGGCTCTGTCTCAAAAAAACAAAAAAAAAAAAAAGGGAAAAAAATAATAAATAGAAAATAAAATTTGAAATATCAAATTTAGCAAACATAATTCAAAATTCTTGAAAAGTATGAATCTGGCTGCTGGGCATGGTGGCTCATGCCTGTAATCCCAACACTTTGGGAGGCTGAGGTGGGCAGATCACGACATCAGGAGTTCGAGACCAGCCTGGCCAGCATGGTGAAACCCCATCTCTACTAAAAAAAAATATCAAAAATTGGCTGGGCATGGTGGTGTACACCTGTAATCCCAGCCACTCAGGAGGCTGAGGCAGGAGAATTGCTTGAACCCAGGAGGCAGAGGCTGCAGTGGGCTGAGATCGCACCACTACACTCCAGCCTGGGCGACAGAGCTAGACTCTGTCTCAAAAAATAAAAATAAAAAAAGAAAAGTATGAATCTTCTTCCAGAAATGTAAAGTTGGTTTATTATTAGGAAAGCTATTAAACATAACAAATACAACAAACAGTCAAAGAAGAATATTTACTTTCATATTCAACAATTGCTTACCTGAGATACCTGTTCCTTTGTCCAAATCACCTTTTGAGATATCAGTGGAAGAATTAATACTTCATAATCCTGAAAGCCAAATTTAGGGTTTGAAATAGCACAGCCCACTATCTTGCCTGTTAAGATAATGATTATATCCAAAGTAACCTCCGTATTAGATTCACTTATGAGGTAAGTAGGGTAGAAAACACGTTGGTGAAAAAGGTAAGCACACCAGAGCTGGTAATGTAAAGTTAAGAACAAATAACACAGTATAAAGACAACATCACTTCTAAGCCATACAAAGAAAGACCCATGATGAGGAAGAGATTCCCCTAAGGAATGGTAATAACATGGCCCATGAAGAATATTCATGGAATTTGTATGAATATTCTGCAAATCATGCACGTAAGACACAGATCACAAGAGACTTTTCAGTGCTGATTCAAATACAGCTGTATTATTTTTATTATATACACTGTAAATCAAATAACTCTGAATGGTTGTTTTATTGTATACATCTTTCTGTTTGAAAGTCTTTGTGTATGTATACTGTAGAGCAGGGGTCAGCATGCTATGGCCCCTGGGCCAAATCCAACCTACTACCTGTTTTTGTAAATCAAGTTTTACCAGAACACAATCATGCTCATTTGTATCCATATTGTCTATGGACGTTTTCATGCTACAGCAGCAGAGTTGAATAGAGAGACTACCTAGCCCTTTACAAAAGAAGTTTGCCAACCCGTGCCATAGAGTGTCCCTTAATGGAACAGCTGGCAAAACCTACACCTAGCAGAACGAATGAAATGTTCATTCATAGTAATTTACTAAATTAATTAAAGACTATTCGTAATAAACTGAGCTAAGTTGCCAAGTCGGAATACTGTATTATGATGTGGTGTAAAGGAAAGAACACTGAGTGATCAGAACCAATGATGAAGCAGTAACAACAAAAAGTATGTATGACCTCCCGCCTCAGCCTCCCAAGTACCTGGGACTACATGGGACCACAGCCATGCACCACCACACCCAGCTAATTTTTATTTTTCGGCAGAGATGAGGTCTCGCGACGTTGCCCAGACTGATCTCAAACTCCTGTGCTCAAGCTCAAGCGATCCTCCCACCTCAGCCTCCCAAAGTGTTGGGATTACAGGCACGAGCCACCACATCCGACCTCCATCTCTACTCTTTTGAGTCTATGTGACTTTATTCATTGTATGAGTCAGGCAGCTACTCTGAATGGAAGGAAAAGAATTATTATTTCGCAGGAAAGAACAAATATGGTTACCCTTATATACAAAGGGTCAGAGCATAGAGGTATTGAGAGCAGATGAAAAAACAAAGACATTTCAGAGCACAAAAGATAATAGAATAATGACAGGCCATTGCTGTACATACTTACTTAGCTGTGAGCGCCAGAGTAGAGTGAATCAAAGGAAAGTAAAGAAGGGGTACCCATTCAATACTGCTTCTTGGGTCTAGCTAGTTTTAATGGTGCTAATGTACACAGTGAAAGCTAATAAACTTGGTTCTGAAATCAGAAATTTCTCTAAAGAAAATAATCAAAGAAGTACACTAAAATTAATATTTAAAATGAATATTTAGATAATAATAAATTTTAAAACCTGTAGGCCGGGCACAGTGGCTCACGCCCGTAATCCCGGGTGGCCGAGGTGGGCAAATCACGAAGTCAGGAGTTCGAGAATAGCCTGGCAAACGTGGTGAAACCCCATCTCTACTAAAAATACAAAAAATTAGCTGAGTGTAATGGCGGGCGCCTGTAGTCCCAGCTACTCAGGAGGCTGAAGCAGAATTGCTTGAACCCCGGAGGCAGAGGTTGCAGTGAGCCAAGATCGTGCCACTGCACTCTAGCTCAGGCAACTGAGTGAGACTCCATCTCAAAAAAAAAAAAAAAAAAAAAAAGTTTGTGTAAAGAGAAAAATGGCTGAATAAAATAAGACTAAAAATAGCACATGACTGCATTCTGGGATTATGAGTAATTTTTCTTTTCCTCTTAATACTACTTTTTGGTGGTTTCCAATTTTTAAACTTTTTTTTGTTGTTGTTGATTTTGAGACAGAGTTTCCCTCTGTCACCCAGGCTGGAGTGCAATGGCACGATCTCAGCTCACTGTAACCTCCACCTTCTGGGCTCAAGTGATTCTCCTGCTTCAGCCTCCCGAGTAGCTGCAATTACAGGCATGAGCCACGCTGTCCCACTAATTTTTGTATTTTTAGTAGAGACGGGGTTTCATCATGTTGGCCAGGCTGCTCTCAAACTCCTGACCTCCTGCCTCGCCTCCCAAAGTGCTGGGATTACAGGCATGAGCCACCACGCCTGGCCAACAATAAACTCTTTACATGCATAAACATAATAAATACGTTAAAAAAGAAGAGAAACCTACTATGTGTACCCCATGCCCTAGATAAATGCCATACAGCTACAACAAAAAGACTTTAAGTTGGGGATAACCGAGCTGCCTAGGCTATCAAAAGATTTTAAGTTGGGGAGTATAATGCAGTCTTGAAGGCTAGCCTACCAAAGAAAAGAGAAAGGGAATTAGAAACAGGACATGCCTATGACAAAGAGGAAGATGGACAAAGTGATCATGGAAGAACAGAAAGAAGAGTAAAAGGAGGGTTCAGATAAAAAATCTTGCTTATTCAACAGGATTAAGAAAGGAGACCAGAGCTAGGCACGGTGGCTTATACCTGTAATCCCAGGATTTTGGGAGGCAAAGGCAGGTGGATTGCCTGAGTCCAGAAGTTTGCGACCAGCCTGGGCAACATGGGAAAACCCCATCTCTACAAAAAATACAAAAAATTAGCTGGGCATGGTGGCGCACGCTTGTAGTCCCAACCACTCGGGAAGTTGAAGTGAGAGGATCACCTGAGCACAGGAAGTTGAGGCTGCAATGAGCAGTGAATGTATCATTGCACTCCAGCCTGAGTCACTATCTCACAAAAAAAAAAAAAAAAGAGAGAGACCAAAAATTGCTCCATAAAATGGAATGCTTTCTAGGGACTATATAAGGCACTTGGCTTTGGCCTTCCTCATCTTGGTGAATGTCTCTTTCCAGTTACCAAGACTTCCAGTGCCTAGTTTAGGAATGCTTTGCCATGGATCAGGAGAGAAATGAAAACCCCATCATCCTTGGCCTGTCCCGAGAAGAAAACTGACCTCTGTACTCAGAATGGAGGCTCTGGGAGCTTAGGGTGGGGCTGACACACTACGCATAACCATTTTCACTTGTGAACCACTTCAATGCTACACATAGCCCCATAAGAGGCAAGCCTGTTAAAGGGGAGTGCAATCAAGAAGGCCTTCTACTCTTTGAAATTCTCCAAGTGCCATACATTTGGCTGTCTTAAAACAATGAGCCATCCTTGCTTTTACAGGGCCCTTTTATGGCTCATTTCTCTGTGGGAGGCCACCGTGTCTGCCATATTATAAGACCCTGCTATAGAAACAATAGGCATGGTGGTGCATCCTGTAGTCCTAGCTACTTGGGAGGCTGAGGAGGGAGGATTATTTGAGTCTGGGGGGTTGAGGCTGCAGTGAGCTGTGATCGCACCATTGCACTCCAACCTGGGAGATACAGCGAGACCTTGTCTCAAAAACAAGAAACAAAAAAAGACCAAAAAACCCAACTCCTTCTTCTCAACAATTTCTCCTTATCTGAGGCCAGCCACATACCCACTTTCTAAGAACTTTCTTGCTGTCTTAATCTTTTCAAGGCAGGTGACAGCTTTATATAGTAAATAGGTCTTCACACTCAAAGAGACTAGGTCAGGAGCCACTTTTTTTTTTTTTTTTTTTGCTTCTTTTAATAGCTAGTGACTTTGAGATGATGGGGTTTCTGGGAGGGATTGGGAACCTTTAAGAATTCTGTTAACTTTTAGAACTTTAATACCTGATGGGATCAGATAAATAGTTGTAGGTAGAAGAATTCCCAGAGTAGGTATATTAGTGTCAGGTGCAGGATAAACTATGATGCCCTTCCAGTAAGAGGACATCTGGATGTTTCTTTTTTTTTTGAGACAGAGTCTTGCTCTGTCACCAGGCTGGAGTACAGTGGTGCGATCTCAGCTCTCTGCAACCTCCGTCTTCCAGGTTCACATGATTCTCCTGCCTCAGCCTCCCATAGCTGGGACTACAGGTGCCTGCTACCACGCCCGGCTAATTTTTGTAGTATTAGTACAGACGAGGTTTCACCATGTTGGCCAGGATGGTCTTGATCTCTTGACCTCATGATTCACCCGCCTTGGCCTCCCCAAATGCTGGGATTACAGGCGTGAACACCATCATGCCCAGCTACTTTTTAATTTTTTTGTAGAGACAGGGTCTTGCTATGTTACCCAGGCTGGTCTCAAACTCCTGGGCTCACGCAATCCTCCCACCTCGGCCTCCCAAAGTGCTGGGATAATGTAGGAGCCACCACACCTGCCCAGAGAAGAAGGGTTTTAAGCCAGAAGAGTATTATCAATTAACTTCTAAGTTGTTAAGTGGGATTATAGAAGGGATGATCATTGATATGTACATCAACCATGATACGCCAGGGCAGAGGGAAGAAGGGTATGTAGGGATAGGTGAGCAGAACTGGATTCTGATTCCCGGTTCCAGTGAGCATTTCACTTTGTACCCATCAACTAAGTCTTTCCTAAAGAATTCAAGGACTTTTTTCCCCAGTTCAGGTATTACACTTTGCTATTCTATGCTTACTAAAGGCCAAATTCCAAGATTTAAAAAGGGGAAAAAAAAAACAAACTTCAAGACCACTTAAATAGAAAACGCAAGGGGTGGGCATGAGGGCTCATGCCTATAATCCTAACACTTTGGGAGGCGGAGGTGGGAGAATTGCTTAAGCCCAGGAGTTCAAGACCAGCCTGGGCAACATAGTGAGTGAGATGCTCTCTCTTTTAAAAAAATTAAAAAAAAAAAGAGAGAAAGAAAAGAAAATGCAAACATGAATTATGTTCTTAAGTCCCAGTTCTGCCACTGATTACAATGTAACCTAAAGTTACTTAAACTTTCCAAGACTCATCTTTGAGATGGAGGTAGTAATAACACAAAACTAACTCTTCCAGTTTTCTGTAAAAATTCAATGAGACAGGGTACATAAAGCACACAGTAGGTGCTCAATGAATGGCATCAAATTATTAAAAAGCTAAATGTCATGTATTTCCTCAATAGAGAACTACAGAAAATTAATCTTCTAAGGGGGCTTATTCCCCAGAAAGGTCAAGACATCTGCAGAAATATGCAAAAAAGCCAGGGAGGGTAAGTATACTAAAATAAGGATAAAGTCTTAATTAGAAAACATAAGTTGTAACTTTTTGGATACTCATGAATGGCTCAAGTTTAAAAGTCACCCCTGAAAAGAAGGAAAAAATGGGGGAACCATACATATAGGATAAATGAGTTGACTACGATGAGGCATATAAAACATAGTTCCTTCTGTATATGTAGCCCGATTTGTGAATGTGCTTTCTAGGTGAGCTTAATTTGAGTGGGAAGAAATTCAGAAGCAAGCTGATTACTATGAGATTCCATATGTTCTAGGATCAACTGTAAATGCAAGTCCCATTGAAAGGAAAATGGGGAGAGGAGGATTTGTAGACATAGTACATTTATTTAATCTATGCCACGAATTGGCAAACTTTCTGTGAAGGGCCAGACAGTAATATTTCAAACTCCATGGTCCATATGGTTTCTCTCCCAACTACTCATCTCTGCTGTAGCATGAAAGCTGCCATCGACAATAATGAATGAACACAACTGTGTTTCAACAAAATATTTACAAAAGCAAGAGCCTATGTCACCTATATTTCAGTTCTTCTGATCTGCAGGAGTGATCACAGACTGGGTAAGCATATAATCTACATGAATTGTTTTAAGAAGGATATATTATAGAATAAGTTGCAGGCTTTGAAAGTGCTGGCCTGTCACTTATGCTCTGGAAATGGCAGTTCTAAGAGCCTCCCTGACAAGAATCAGGGCAAAGTAAGCCTCTCTTCCCCTACTTACCTTCATCACTATGTTACCTTAATCACTGACAGGACCCTCCTTCTTTTGCTGCATGGTCATTCACATGGAGGATCTGGTGGACTCTAAAATACTTTTCAAATATCCTTCACAATCCAGCCTAGTGAGAAGTAACAAAAAGAAAAAAGACTGTTTGCATCATCTATGACCTTCCTGACACTCAGCTTGGTCAGCCTCCATTGCATTGAGCAACTGTGGCAGGTATTAAAAGGGAGAATGGGAAGAAGGGAGAAAAACACAAGATGTTGCTTAGTTTAACCTAATCATTTTTAAGTGCAATTTTTTACATCATAATGGGAAAAAACAATTGATATAACACTTATGATACATTATACATTTACTGGTTACTTATCCCTTTGTCTAACTTCACAAGAATGAAAGTTCCCTGGCAAGACTTTGTTAATATCTGCAACAGTCTCTGGCATTTAGTAAGTACTTAATAAAGCTAGAAAGTTAGAAAGGGCGAGATCATAACCTATTTCCCTTCTCTTTTCTACCACCAACTGGGGAACCCCAAGCCACTGGCAACTTACCAAGGCTTCCCAACTGCCTCACAAGGACATCCATGGCAACCGTAATTCATCCTCTTCCTCTGATGAACTTGCTGGGCAGGAAGCATCAGTATGAGTAACAGGCAGATCTTAATGTTGCTCTTGACCAATGAGAAGTTTTCTGGCCATCCAGGAATCTGCATGTTTAACAAGCACCCCAGGTGATTTTATGCATAATAAAACTTCACACCATGGACATTTCCAACATCAGAGGAGTAAAATCTCAGGAGCTATTACAGAAATCTTTTAGTGTGAAATGAGTCCAAGGTGTGTGGATCACTTGAGCCCAGGAGTTCAAGACCAGCCTGGGCAACATAGTGAGACCCCCATCTCTATTTAAAAAAAAAAAGAAAAGAAAAAAAATCTTTTACTGTGAAATAAAAACATTTCTGTCTCACATGGCTTCCTTGGATTTGATAGAACCTAGATGAAGCACTGAGTAGAAGACACAGTACTGACTTGGACTCAAATCCATTTTCTATGCCAACTAGCTATAATCTTGGGCAATTTGTGCCATCTACTGTGGCCTCATATAATCTTGGGCAATTTCTAATTCCCCCATCTGTAAAAATGGGACGATAGGGAAAAAAGAGGTTAGATTCTTTATTCTGTAGCACAGCCTGAATATTTTAAGACTTTTTTTCATATCATAATGTGAAAATATCCAGTAATTGCTTAGTGCCTATTAAGCACCCTTACCCTACCCCATCCCACTAACTGAGCAAGCCCACCAAAGCCACTGGCCACTTACCAAGACTTCACAATGGTTTGATAACTAGGTGCAGGATGCTGGTTTGAGCCTCTCCCAATTCTCTGATAACCTCACTGGAGGTTAACCAGGCAGGGCTCAATATACCTCTTCACCAGTGGCATAGTTTCTGATTGCATGTGGCATCACCTATAGGACAGGGAGAAGAAAGAAACAAACATAAGATGGAACAGTCAAGGTTTGAGATCTAGCTTTAATTTTATTTTTACCACCTTAGTCAAGTTATCCAGCCAGTCACACCATGGATCTCAGATTTTACTCTTGCTAAGCATTCACACTTAGCATCACAATTATATTATCTGGCAAAGGCAGTTACAAGGTCTACGATTATTAGTAAGGATTCCTGCCTTTATTTTAAATGAGAGAACTGGGTACAGAGGTACCAATGACTACACCAAAGTGTTAGTACCCAGATGTGAACTCTAATGCTTATCTTCGTAGTTTCCTTCAAGTTCTTCCCCTCTTTAGACTTCAATATCGCCGTGAATAAGGGGGTAAACTTGACCCCTTAGTGGCCCTTCTGTGTCTGGCAGTTAATGAACCTATATTCTTTAGTCCTGACCAAAACAGCCTGCAAAAGGTGAATAAAACCTTCATCTAGTCATCAGATGGCATCTGGTTTTCACACTGATAGGAAAAGGTTACAAAACTCTGGGCTCTTGGACCAAGACCCTATCATTTACAATCTCAACTCCCACCACCACTCACCTTACCTTAAGTGAAAAGGAATTGAACATTATCTGCTCCCTCACCCAGCTGTCTGGGTTATCAATAGGACCACAAAAACTAGGCAGACCAGTGGCTATGCCCCTACCTCCAAGAATCAACCACTGGAGTAACAGGCTCTGAGTCATGAGACACAAGCCAAAGACCATCAAGGAGTCCTTTCATTCTTTCTTTTTTTTGAAACAGAGTCTTGCTCTGTTGCCCAGGCTAGAGTGCAGTGGTGTGATCTCGGTCACTGCAACCTCTGCCTCCTGGGTTCAAGCACTGCAACCTCAGTCTCCCAGGTTCAAGTGATTCTCCTGCCTCAGCCTGCCGAGTAGCTGGGATTACAGGCGCCCGCCACCGCGCCTGGCTAATTTTTGTGTTTTTAGTAGATGGGGTTTTACCATCTTGGCCAGGCCGGTCTCAAACTCCTGACCTCAGGTGATCCACCCACCTCAGCTTCCCAAAGTGCTGGGATTACAGGCGTGAGCCACCCTGCCTGGCCAAGGGGTCCTTTCTAAGGAGCAGCCTATTGCCTGTAAGTTTCTCAGTCCCTAGCTGCTTAGCATGAAAAATAACCCAGAAATCTGGCAATTCAGCAATGGCCCAAAGCCCAGGTTACTGTTATCATTATATGCTGGCAGCACAAGTCAATACTGCTAAGTTTCCTGTTACTCAGTGAGATGCGGGCAACCCTCAACTCAAACCCCTGGAAGACCCAAGGAGCAGTTACCCAGGACTCATTTTTAACTGTTTTACCTACCACCAGCCAGAAAGAATCTGTCCTCTCATCTACTAGTGACCATGAGACCAAGGCAGAAAGTTCTCCCACCATAGATAAGGAAGACTGGTGCTGCCTAGCTGAGAGGAGAGGGGAAGCAGGAGCCTTGATAGGTTTGAGCCATCTCTTTATTGGAGCAACTAAGGCTACCATTTACTAGAGCAAGACTTGCATATTCATAAGTAGCTGCTGCCACTAGCAATTATTGTAGCTTTAAAGCCCAGAGGGACAAGGGTAGAAAAGGAATGTGTAGAGGGCCTAATTGGGAAATAAATGGTAGGTGTAAACACTGATCCAGAAAATGCCTGCACTAAGGAGCCAGGAATCTAAGGGTAGGTGGTAGTTAGTGCCTTCCTCTGAAGACAGCGATCTTATTTCCACCATTCCCTTCCCCCACCCCACCCAGCTCTTTTCCGAACTAAATTTCTCCAGTTTCCAGAACCCCTCACCACCCCCACTTATTCCACTTCTGTTCAAGTCAACAGTTTCAAAATGGAAATAGTTTCAATGTGTCTCTAGCTTTGATAGTCATAGATGAACACTGCAAAAAAAAAAAAAAAAAAAATCCGGAACTATATTAGGCAAAGAATGTAAAAATCAGCCAGAGGCCGGGCGCAGTGGCTCACGCCTGTAATCCCAGCAGTTTGGGGGGCGGAAGCCGGCGGATCACGAGGTCAGGAGATCGAGACCATCCTGGCCAACATGGTGAAACCTCGTCTCTACTAAAAATACAAAAATTAGCTGGACGTGGTGGCGCATGCCTGTAATCCCACTCGGGAGGCTGAGGCAAGAGAATCGCTTGAACCAGGGAGTCAGAGGTTGCAGTGAGCCACAATCATGCCACTGCACTCCAGCCTGGCAACAGAGCGAGACTCCATCTCATAAAAAAAAAAAAAAAAAAAAAAAAATCAGCCAGAATCCCAGAAAAGTTTAACACTTGGGGTACGTTCTTCCAACAACTTTCATATACATGCACAAACATGAATTCTTATTTTACAATGATTAGATGAAACTATACTGTTTCTCTTTAGCCCTTTTTCAATTAATATGCTCTATACATCTTTCTAAGTCAAATATTTATCTTCAAGACTATTTTTATTTTTAATGGCTATGTTGTGCCATTACATGAATACACCAAAATGTATTTAACCAAGTTCCTATTCATGACTAGGTAAGTTTTTCCATTATTTACTGTTATAAACACCGTGAATATGCCCATATCTAAATCTTTTTTTTAATATTGTTAAACATATATTTGGGGGTATATCCCTATAAATGAATACAAACTTTACAGTGTAAGAGATGTGCAAAGATCAGTAAAACAGTCTCTACCCTTGAGTTTAAATCAAAGGAGATAGACACAAACAGGTAACATTGACCATTATCATGTCCATGGATAAAGACAAACAAAATTTCATGGTGCTTCCTAACTGAAACTGCAGCTGTTGCTAACAGAAAAGGCTCAAAGAATACTATTAGACAGTAGCCCAAACTAAAAATCCATTTGCTAGAATTCCAAAGAGTTATTCTAATGCTAAATATTGCCTCATTGGCATTTCAATATGACATTGTTGTTTCTCCTTTAGCAAGCCTTAAAGGAAAGAACCAAGCAGAAGCTGCTCAGAAAACCACCTACCCTAAAGGCAGAGAAGTGAGTAAGGTGCAAGGCAGTATATGACACTGGACCTGGACTTCCACCTTTCCTTCCCCCTACTATTTCCAGTAAACAACAGTGAGCTATAGCCATTTTCTTTCAGAAACAACGTGGATTCTCTCCCTGAGACTCTCATTCCTACACAGATCTGCTTACACATAGTTGTGCTGTGCTGGTATTCATGCCAACTTAGAAGACACAAATAAGAATGAAAACAAACTTTTTCAGCACCATGATGGGTCAGATACAGATGACATTAACATGGACGACAGACAGATTTTTAAAACCTATTCAACAAAGATGAGTTAATGTGATAACGCAAACAGTCCTGAATCTTATAGTAACATTTCAGTCACAGGCGCATATACAATGGTGGTCCCATAAGATAATAACACCATGTTTTTACTGTACCTTCTCTATGTTAGATATGTTTGGATATACAAATACTTACCGTTGTGTTCCAAATGCCTACAGTATTCAATACAGCAACATGCTGTACAGGTTTGTAGCCTAGGAGGAATAGGCTATACCATATAGCCTAGGTGTGTAGTAAGCTATACCATCTAGGTTTGTATAAGTACACTCCCCTATGATGTTCACACAACAACAAAATCACTTAATGATCCATTACTCAGAACACATCCTGTCTTTAAGCAACACATGACTGTATAGTGAAATGTTAATTATAAAATCTAGGTGTTGGGTACATAGCTTTTCACCATACAATTCTTTCAACTTTTCTGTATGTATGTTTGACAACTTTCACAATAAAATTTTGGGAAAAATCCAGCAAGCAGCTTTAACAATATGGCTGTAAGACTTTTCCTTCTATTTTATTTTATTCCTAGGATGATCCTATCCAACAAGATGAGCCTATTCAATGTTTCCTCCATTTTGTTTTAAATTTAGCTTTCTCAAATATGACTTTGAGCTCTCCGACTTTTTAATGAAGTGAAATGAATCAAAATGTATTCATAGGCAGGTTACCAAGATAGTACATGTAAAGTTGGGGAGGCACAAGGGGAGGTGCTCTAAGCTCTTGGAAGTCTAGGCTCACTACCTGTATATGTCTAAATAAATGAATATTTCAGACACCCCACTTCTTCATTTAAAAATTAGTGTTAGGAACCTCTAAACATTTGCCTCAGCTTACCTTTCTGCCTTATCCCACATTAAGTCCTTATTTCCCATATTCTCATTGCAAAGAACTGTGTAGGAAGGAGAGGAACAAGGGCAAAGGCACCAAAGCATGCTATGTCCATGTGTTTCAAGTTTGAATACAATAAAAGGTATTTCTAGAGTAGAGGTTCAAAGCTTGATGTTGAAGGACAGATTATAACTGACTGACTGCAGGACCCTGGGGGAGGTCTTATAATTTCCTACTTTAAAACATGTCTTAGCTGGTTTATCTGTAAAAGAGGAAAAAGACTTGTCATAAGCAATGACAAATGAAGTAAATAAATATGAATTTCTGGTCTGGTGAATGGAATGAGGAATGAAACCATCACTGTCGAGTGATGATCCAGAGTAGGCACAGCAATCTTTTTCTACAAAGGCTTTGTGGGCCACAATGTCTCCAATATATTGAATGGCAAAAACAGCAACTACTTTTGCACCACCCTAGTAGCTACTTAACTGTGCCATTGGGATGCAAAAGCGGCCCCAGGTAAAACATCAGTGAATGAACGTGGCTGTGTTCCAATATAGAACTGTATTTGCAAAACAGGTAGCCCATTGGCAATAAAGTTTGCCCACCCTTGGCTTAGAATATGGAGTCTGGTTGGGTGCTGGGGCTCACACCCGTAATCCCAGTATTCTGGGAGGCTGAGGAAGGTAGATCGCTTGAGTCCAGGAATTCGAGAATTCGAGAACAGCCTGGGCACCATAACGAGACCCCGTCTCTATGAAAAATACAAACATTAGCCAGGGGTGGTGGCGCACACCTGTAGTCCTAACTCAGAACGCTGAGGTGGAAGGATCACCTGA